TTACAAGAAAAACATTAAATCATATGAAATTTGATGCGGAAATTTATAATAAATAATATAATTACTCACTAGTATATACATTTATTAATTATTCTGTTTAAGTATTTAAGTATTTAACTAGATATAACATAATTAAGCTAAACGCGACATTGAACTCATTGTTAATTACGACGATTTATAGCGATGTGTATATAAGATGCATGACGAATTAAAGATACTGTATATTTGTTTTCTGAGCAATTTGCAAATGTTTAAATTTGACTCGTATTCAGTAGACTAAGTCTAAATATTAAATGGTATTCTACATACACGTATATTTTTTTTTCAGAGAGAGAGAGAGAGAAATCAATGCACATATACACTTCTATATTCTTAAAAAATACCTTCATGTAAAATGTATTTAGCCATTTTAATTTTGATCCATAGTTAATGATATCGATATGCGCAGTTAGACTAGCTCAGGGTGAAGCGTCGATATACAAATGTCAATCTGATTAAAATCAGACCCTTTGATCCGATCACATAGATCGCTTGTGTAGCGATCTATGTGAGCGGATCAAAGGATCTGATTTTAATCAGATTGTCCAAATGTGTGTTTGGGGGGGGGGGGGGGGGCAGAGATCACTGAAAAGCAAAAAAAGAAATCTCCGAATAAAAAAGCAATCGGTAAAAGTTCAATCTAAAAAAGAAAATCTTTTCGGGGGGGGGGGGGATATAGATACTGGTATCAACGAACGAGAAGAGGGACGGCCCATATATATAGATAATGCTTTGCTAAATTAACAGCAAGAGAATATGCTGAGTGGAAAAACGGAAGAAGGGGATGCCACGGAAATTTCGCAAAAAATAAATTAATATAAAGGACATTTTGAAATGATCAAATAAATAATACATAAAAAAAGTAGTCTCTGATTAAAATTACTATTGTATCAATTTTCTTAAATTGTATTAAAGCTGATTTGAAATTGAATTGCAATATGTTTAGGAAATAAATACAGCTAATGTGGACTTTTTCCAAAAGTATTGTCATCAATGTTGAAGAAAATAACAATTATAGATACTGATATTAGGATAAACAATATTTATGAAACAAAAGAAACAACAGATTAAACAACAGATAAGGCTTTAAAGAAATTACAAACTTCTGATGAATGTTGATATGGCAAAATCTTTTGAAAATAAATCACTGATAGAGGAATTAGTACTATAGTAACAAGTGGTTATGAGTGTCATATTCAAATGTTAAGAAAATGTTCAGAAACATCAACCACATTAACATCAATCGTACGACAACAAAGACAATCAAGAAATCTAAATTTTGATAAAGATGAACAAAATATAACTCTGGTGGTGTTTCGAGCGAAAAAAAAAAAACGGAGGTTCAGGCAAAACTTTGATAATCTTAAAATATGTGTTAAAAAAGCATTTATTGTTTTGGCTGAAGGTTTAATTCATGTACATCTATATGTAATAAATTAGTCACGTTTCGTGTTGAAATCTTGGGCGTCAAGTCTCAGCTCCGATATCTCGATATCCCGGATATCTCGACATTTTTTGAAAGTTCCGCTGATGTCGGGATACTGAAGGAAAAAGATTAAAGAAACACGCTCATCTTTCTGATTTTGAAGAAAAAATGTTTCTATATCAGTCGTGTGGCAACAAGCAAAAATAAGAACATGCTCTTTAATTTCGAGTTTCTGACAAATTGTTATTTTGTGAAACAATAACTAGGAAAAAATGGTTTGTCTATTTTATCTTTAGCTTAAGAAAAAAGCAGATACAAAGTCGCCTATGATGGCCAGGTTAGAGTGGTAGAGTTATAAACATTCAGTGGGATGTTGCTTAACCGAATCGCCTCATATATATGTGTGTGTTGGACGTAATATTTAATTATTGTTTAAGAATATAATTTTATGTACATTTCATCGCATCGAAGTATGAAAAGCTTAGGTGTCTGGTTAGCTGATGCCACAGAAGAAAATGAAAAGATAACCTTAATTTTGTTTAAATACATTTATTCAAGCAGATCCGTAGCTACAGTTTCAAAAGTTGGGGAGGGGGGTGGGGCAACTTCCTCCATAATTCGGACAAGCAAAAAACAAAAGCAAAAACCTATAATGACCAAAGAGTGTGTGGGGGTGGGGGTGGGGGAGGGGGTTCCCAAAATAAAAAGCAGACAAAAGGGAAAAACTTATCTGTATAAATCCTGGAATTTGCCAGTGCTTCACCTTACAACAACAAAACAAAATTTGGGGGGGGGGGGGGTGACCAGCACCTATAAAAGGAAAATTTGGTAAAGCAAAATACTACACTCAGAAAAAGTGGAGGCAGACCCCCTCTGCCGCCCCCCTCCCCCACCCCCACCCTTGCGTTCTACGGGCCTATTAAGTCTCGCAAGATATCGGTTTCAATTTCAAATAAATTTCATAAAAATTGTAATGCAACTGTATTTCATTTCGCTCAGAAAAGTCCGTTTAGTATGTATATAAATTATATATATATAAAAGCAAGTACAACCAAGAGCAGTACAACCATTTCTTTGATCAAACTATACATTATATACATAAAACAATTTTTTTTAGATTAGTGGCCCTTTTTAAGAAATGATGAACGAAAATTGTTCAGTTCAAGTGATACAGCAATTGCTTCGACGGCATAAATGCCTCAAAATTTAAAAAAAAATGTACAGAAACATTTATAACCGCTTTTGTTTAAGTGTGATTAACTTTAAAAAGTAAGAAGTTGACAAAAAATTTAAATTTTCATGTACGGAAATCCGAATAAACATTCATAAGACAATTCAATCCTTCGACATCATTATGTGCCTGTTTGTTACGTTTCTACTCCATAACTAAGACAGGCGAAGAAATTGAATTGTATAAACAATGGAAACTTAATTATTAAACAATTTTATTAAAGTATTCAAAAAAAAAAGTTCAATAAAAATCCCCTTGGAAGAAGTGAAGAGAATTTTTTTTATATATTAATTATGATTTTTTTCATGAAACAAAAAAAAAGTTTATACATCATGGCATATCTGAATTTATTTCCCATTAGAATTTTTCGGTGATCCAGAAAAGACATGACGTGTTATTATCCCTTCGTAACAAAGTTATAGGGGATGAAGTAACGTGCGTGTATGTGGAAGAGTGAATGCGTGCTTATATACGAAAATATTTTTTTTATATTAGGATCGATGTGCTCTTTTGCGAGGGGATACCCCGCTTTAATTGCACAGATGCCCTTTTGAGACATCTATATAGAACTTTTAATATTACAAGTGCTTTATATCTTTTATAAATTGAGTTAGAGTATTAAAAAGAATACCTTGTGTGGAATTCAACAAGTATTAATTTTTCGGCTGAATAAAATCGTTCCTAGAGCCTGTCTAGATCCCCACCCCTCCCTTTACGAAATTACTAGATCTGCTATAATATAGTATGAAAATAGTATGCGACTTCCCTCATGAATAATAACATACTAGTTGCTTGAAAGAAAAAAATCTCCAGTTTATATGTGTCAAAAAGATTGAGGTTATTTCAAAAATGTAGTTTTTTTTAAGAATGTTTGGAAACTGAATTTGACGCACGCGACGTCATTAGGTTTTCAATAAGTAACGTCAACGTTGTTTTGAAGCAGCCTTACTAAAATGCTCATAGAATACTGAAAACGTGAGATATTTTAAAAATTGATGTATATTTGCATTCAGAAAGAGTCAGACTATCAAAATTGATCAAAAAGTCAATTTGTGAAATTTCGACCTTAAGGGCCCTTTTCTCATGACGGCAGTCAATTATTTTCCCATGAAATGTAAATGCAAATTGATATTTAGGTATTTCAAGCTACATTTTACAAAAAACAATGCCATTGAAATATAAGAACTTAATTTCATTTCCTTGATTTTAGAGATGGATATAATTGAAAACGTACTTCCCTGCCTTAATGCTTTTGTGTTAAATTCTTAAGGAGTTAGTGGAATGAAAACCGTTAAATCTTCACTCCTTGTTGAGTGATAAAAAGATATTTTTCAAAGAACTTTTACTTTTTCGATCTTATTTTTATTATATTCAGATCTAATTAAGCTAAAGGTTACCCCCTCGAGACTCCAAGACTGATCGTTTACGTAGGAAGTCATTACATGATAGACCATAAAGCACATAATATAAGATTCAAAAGAACCGTTAATCACTTGTTGTAATTAATGTTATCGATATTTTATCAAAATGTTTAACGCCCTATTGCAGGGAATAAATATATGAGAAATAATGTATCAATTAAAATTTTTTGGCTAGCAATATCTGCGAAGGTAGTTTTTAAATTTGAATAACATTTGTTAAAAAAAGATTAGCAAATAGCACCTTTATAAATTTATGGCTGTAGTATTTGAAGTGTAATACGAATAGTGAATTAAAGATTTTAGAATATATGTTCAAAATTTTGATTTTAAAGCAACACATTTTTCGTCATATGCTAGTATTAATTTGAATCACATAATTAAACAGTCATACAAGTTCCTAAATAAATCATTTTAATCCTGTAAAGAACGCAGAAAGAGATATCCATACAAATCTCTTTTCAACCAATTTTACCTTTAGAAACCATACAACACGCTCTATTTCCTTGAAAAAAGGCAATAATAAGTTTTGCAATATTGATGCATTTGGAATAAGATGTTTGTTAAAAGTTCATGCATTTTCCTTTTCATTAATTATTTTCTCATTGATCAGTAGGATTGCAATAAAAAGAAAGTTTATTAACATTACACCTTTTACAGAAAAAAACCCCCACAAAGCCGTTAAACCAAACTTGCATTGACTAATTTTATTTCGTTATGGTCTGTTCTTATAATTATTTAGAAAAATAAAAGTGCAAAGAGATTGTAAAAATAACAATGTTTATGCCCTTTGAAGTGATCAATTGAACCATTTAACGCCCTAACAAGATTAATTACACCTGTTCGAGATACTGCAATGCAAACTAATGTTTTGTTTCATTTGCAGGTGAAGAGTCTCCAGAACACCTGTTTCAGACGTACATGAAATTCACCGTAAATCCGATTTTATTTTTGAGAAAAAGTATGAAATGGCATTATTCCGAATAAAAATCACAGTAGGCGTCTGCTTCACCTAATTTCTGTACACAAAGACGAGTCGTTGTTCATGCAGTTTTAAACATGGAAGACTTTGATCATTTTCAACAAATTGAAGATTTTCTTAGTGAGTTTAAAAACAAATCGAAAAACCTTTCCGCAGTGGCTGCGTTTAATTTGCACATTAAGTCTACGGCGAACGATACAAATGTATCTAAAATCGAGAACGATTCAAGTAAGCATGTCGTCGGAAACATCATATTGATAACAGCATACACCATTTTGATGTGTATTTCCTTATTTGGGAATAGTATGGTTTGTTACGTCATTGTTCGTAATAGACGAATGTATACCGTGACCAATTTTTTCATCGCCAATATGGCAATTTCGGATCTATTTGTCACATGTTTCAATGTTCCATTCAACATTGCAAGACATTTACTGGATGAGTGGCCATTTGGAGATTTTATATGCCATCTGATGAATTTCTCATTGATGATATCCGTGTATGTATCAACATTTACGCTGACGGCCATCGCACTGGATCGCCAATATGTTCTTCTTTATCCACTAAAACCTAGAATATCCAAACGCTCAGGGTTAATCATTTTGGCATTTATATGGGTTATATCCTTCCTTTTGTCTTTGCCGTATGGAATTTATACTGAAGTGTCCGAGGTCAACTTTGTGTTAAAAAGAGTCAAAAGATGCAGATCTAATTTTCCGGAGCCGAAAGAAGAATTTGAGAAGACATTGACCATAACAACAACAATAATACAATATTTTATTCCCTTAACCATCATAGGTGTCTCTTACGGACGGATAGTGCGGAAGTTATGGCGCAGAACGCATCTTGGAGCAGTCACACACTCACAACAACGATCGCAAAATAAGGCAAAACGCAAAAGTATAAAACTATTAATAACAGTGGTAGTTGTATTTGCCCTTTGTTGGATGCCGTTAAATTTGTATCATATCCTAACCGATTTTCATCCGGACACCAGCGTCTTTCAATACAACAGTACAGCGTTCTTCGTTTTTCATTGGATAGCCATCAGCAGCACGTGCTACAACCCTTTCGTTTATTGCTGGATGAACGAATCATTTCGTAAAGAGGTAAAGTCCTGTATAGATGTTTGTTTCAGATCTTGCCAATCAGGTACTGGAAATAACAGAAATGGTTTCTTGAGCAGGAGAGATTTCTTTAACCGTTACAGTCTGAAAACAATGTCAACAATTTTACGACCAAGTTCCACCTTCAGTACCATTCCTTATTCTAACAAATCTTGTCTTGATTCCTCAGGCAAATCCAAGGACGACATTCCTTTGTTTGAAACGAACCACACTGTGTTTTCAGATATTTCAAATGCATAACCTAATGACAATTTTTTGTTGAATCTTTCCTGAAATATTCCATCCAAATTTTATTCCACATTTACAATTTTGTGTAAATAGAAAAAAATGCATATTTCTGCTGACTATTTTAATGGTAGAGTATATTATTACTTGTACTTTCAAATGTCATGTTTCATTACAACTCTTTTAATCAATATTTATATAAAGATTGTCAAGATGATGTTCGTTTCTGTGTTATTTTTCATTAGTCTGAATTTTCTTTTTCGAAGTGCCGTGGAGATCTAACTCGAGAGGAGACATCAAATATCCTAAGAGCGAGATGATTTTCCATAGTTCAGAGGGCTTCTCTTGTTCGTGAGGGCAATTTTGATCCAACAAGTCTACCCCTCCGGCAAGTCTAAAAATATATAGTACTTCAAGAAAGAGATCCTAACTTTTAGCATTTTTGACCAACGCAGATATAAAAGACTAATATGTAAATAGCGATGTTTGATAGTTATGTTTTTAAAACTTACAGCATTTGTTTGTGTTCTTTTTTAATTATTATTTTTTGTGACAATTACATAATTTGAAAAAGACTTTATTTTTTGTTTTTATTTTAAATCCCAATTCATTCATAAGGAATCACTCCATGCTCTGATTATCATATAAGCACATCTCAAATATGGCAATAAAGACAAAAGGATTCAATTCAATAAAATATTAATAGAAACAGGGACGTAGCATCGTTTTTGAAAGGAGGGGGGGAAACCAGAGAAAAAAAATTCAACTTACCTGAAAAAAGTTGACAAGCAAAAAGGAAAACAGTACATACTAAATTACCCTTACTTGACTATACTCCAACAGAAAGTGGGGGGAGGGGGGCTAATCGGCCTTTCAGTGAAAATTTTCAATAGCAAAAAGTTATGTTTGGAAAAAGTGGGGGTAATTAAGGCATGAAGCCTCTACTTTATATCCATGTTTGCAGAGGGACATATGATCACCATTGATTAATTGGTACTAGTATTCTATGCATAGAGTGAATCGTTAAAGTGCAAATCCAACATGTTTTCAAGTGGTATTCTCATTCACCTAAGACATTCAAAACCAATTATCTATATAATGAAAAAGAAGTCGCCTGTTTAAAAGTAAAGGGTAAGAAAAATTATTGTTTAGTTTTGCTAGTTAGGGGCCTAAGAAAAGCACAATCTCTGTTAAAATGATGTAATGGATACCTTTTAAAAAAAATTTAAATAATCTAAAACATTAACTGCTCTACCACCTTGTATAAATATACATGTAACAAAGCTAACATTCCCTTTAAGACTTCTATTGAATTTAGTTTTGAAATGTAAAAGGTGAAAAAAAAATGAACCGTGATCAGTCGCATAAATCCAGTAAACAAAACGAGTCAAAAAGAGAGCACAAGCACAAACCCCTGGAATCACCAGAGATGGGATGAGGGCTGGGATTCATAAACATACTTAAGATTTGTGCGAAGATTCACACTAAAGTATATAAAATAAATTCTTAGATAAGAAAAAATTCTTAAGTCATATTCATATAAATTCTAAGTGCAATTCTTAGCTAAATAATTCTGATGAGAAAATTAGAGCACTTAAGTTAGGTCAGCCTAGTAACGCATACAATTTCCCGAACAAAAAACGCACTCTTTTGTGATGGAGGTATTTAGTTCCATGTGTATTACATCACAACTGATATGTACAGCCATGTCATCAACATTGCACATTTGCATCTTGCTAGTTGAAAAATATCTCATAGTCAAAAAGAGTTTCTAGTTAGATGATATAGCATGGTTTCTTAATGAAAAACTAAGATTTCTTCTGTGCACCATTATTTTTATTTTGATAAAGGAGACTTAAGTATTTCTTATCTACTTAAGACACCTCCTGAGGACACTTAACTTTACGTCAATACTTAAGCACTAAATATGTTTATGAATTGCACCAAGTATTTCTACAAAATTTAGGTAATACTTAGGAAACTTAAGTAAAAAATATATATAACTCAATTGATTTTTATAACTTAAGAATATGTTAAGAAGTTTTATGAATCCCGGCCCAGTTGTCTAGGAGGAGTAAGCATCCCCTGCTGACCTGTCACACCAGCCGTGAGCCATATGTATTGATAAGATATACAAAGTACTCCATAGTCAAATTTAGTATGAAATCAATGACCTAACATATGGTATGAAACATGTCGGACAAAATAAGACCCAAAGATAGGTTGAACAAAAAGGGTCAATATAACGACCGCATTTGTGAAAAGCTTACTTTAAACGGGGTTATTGAAATCCTTGTTACATCAACTTATTTGTCAGTAGCTTGCCTCGGTTTAAAACTTGATCGTACTCAAAGCACATCGAATCAACTGGGAGACAAACAACACCATATACAGGTGATGTTGGAATATTACTATATACGCAAGGGAAGTTGACGATGAAAAAACTGAAATTATCCCGGAGCACAAAAAGAGCCGATCGAAATGCCAGATTGTTAGAAGACCTGGTCTCCAAAGGCTTTATAGATATTGTCAATAAGGAATTCAAGCATCCTTTTAAAATCAACTTCAAATTAAAGTTCTTGTACGTAGAATCAAAATGACTTTTAACAATGTAATTTTATAGATGACCATTGCAATCACAAGATATGAAAAATGACGAGTTCCATTTTTATTAAGGAAACAGTTGTCTATGATATCAAAAACCTGCTCTTTAACTTATTGTGAGGAATGGTTGTATAAAGCGTAGAAAACCCTTCTCTTATGACACTTTTGATGTTTGAAAAGTTTTGACATTTTGTATTTTCCAAAAGTTCTTTGGAGTTTTTTAAGAATCCGCATTTGATTTACACCACTTCTTGAACATGAAGTTGCACAACGTCTGAAATTTCTCCTTCACAGCAATTAATATTTTAGTGAGAGTAGGAATAGGGGGTTGGTTGAACATTTACTTTAATTTATTTTAAATTCTAGGTACAAAAGTTATTTTTATGCCATGTTGTGACTTTACCAGACAAAACTTACTTTGACCTTCTCACATATAAATCAAATACATGTAAATTAATTTTTAAAAGAAAGTCCTTAATTACAGAAAAGGTACAAAATTTCCCTATTATTTCACCAGAGCTTGATGTATTTTTGGAGTTTCTTATTCCAGCTCTCAGACCATTTCACTGGATTTTTGTCTGAAGCCATATGAGGTTAGTACGAAACAAGAAACGGTTTTCCCTTAGTATTTTTATTTTTGTTTGATTTTGTATTTTTAGAATAATACTCTCAGAGATTTCTTAACATATTTTGCTCTATCTTTATTACAAAAGACAAGAGGTATAGAATAATTATGACTGTCTAGAGTAAATAAGGAGAATTATATGATTAAAGCTCAGAGACAAAAGTCAAACAGGCATTGCTATAAAAAGTGGAAATATTCCAAATTATGTTTAGGTCACAATATCGAAAAGTTTTGACAAAAATACCTTTTGATTATGAGATTAGTAACGAACGATCACCACATGCAATCAAGTTCGTAGAGACTAAATAGTCCTGGGTTATTTATTAGAAAAATATTCAGATTCTGCACACAAATCACAGTACATTATTATACCTTTTTCTCAATCTGGTGGAAAACTAATAGTTGTTCTCTAGTAAATTTCCAACAAAATTTTAGTAGCTCTATCACATTTGGGACTGCCAAATTGTAGAGAATATGTCTTACTACACATGGAACTACATTATTTAATATGCTGTGCAAAAAAAGTCAGCAAAAGAGGTAGGGATATAAATAGCAACCATCAAACCAGGAAACTCGAGGAACTGCCGAAGAGTTCCTTCTCATGTCATAGCTGGGGGAGTCAGTGAAGATAATTGACTGCAAGTCTAGCACAGAGAGGAAAAGAAATGAAATATAGATTGGAGGTATTTTCCTGATGCTCTCACCAACGACCTCTCAAAGAATAGAAAGTCATGAAAGAAACCTTCTCAATGGACTTTAAGAACACCAATGGTGCCACCAGTCGAAATGAATATCAGTATTTGATTATCATCTGTTAAAAGTTTTTTCACTCATTTACTTAAATCATAAAATAATTTTTGCTATTGTCAGTTTCAATTTATCTTCTAAATTATTATTTTTTAATTTCATCTTTTTGTGCTCTTCTATTGGTGAATTCAAATGGTGTAACACAAATATCTACTAGCATAGCACTTTCAGGTACGAGATCAGTTATGCGTATGATTAAAAAAAAAATTACGAAATGAACTTAATAAAATTCAGTGGAATGATCCTGTGATGAAAAGGTAAACATTTTAAAAATTCATCAGTGTACTATAAAAGGATATAAGAAATATAAGACTGTCTCATATCCAGAAGTTATAGCGTGAAATTTGAAAAAAAAAATGGAACAAAATTTAAGTATCAAATGTGCACATTGCTTTTATTTTATTCCAAAGATAAAAAATTCCAGGAATATTCTGTTTTAGTTGCTTATTTATCTGTTACTCTGTCTATATGTATGACTAAATTTACGCAGTTCATGCAACTTCGACTCCATAAGATAATTGTAGTAGTTGAAAGGGACATAGAGATGATTCTTTGGTTTCGTTTTTAGCCATATGATTTAGAACAGATGACAGGCTATTTTAGATAAATATTAGCATAGACAGCAATGTTTCTTCAAATTAAACCTGTCATAAAAAGAAAGAAAGAAAAAATAAAAGAAAGAAAAGATGTATACTGTAAACTGATAACTCTAAGGCTTTTGCAACTATATAAGCTCAAGATAATTTTTCATTTCTAAGTGACAGATATAAGTTAAAATTTCGCCCTGACTTCCACGGGTGTTAAGTTCAAAGGTAATGGGATTCCTTCAGGAAGACCTATTATTACGACACGAAGAAAATATAAATCGTATACACATGGGTAACTAATTAGGAGTGGTTTGTTAACATGCAAAGTTAAAGCAAAATATTTATGTGAAAAGAGGGCTATGAGATATTTTAGCTTTCACATAGAATTAGTATAAATTAATTCTTAAACCAGTAACACGTAATTTTCCTTGTTTATTTATAAAGATTAAGGTTTTTTAATCTTTGAGAATATCAAAGACAACAGCCCGATTCTACACATGCATTTAATTAAATATACAACA